GCCATAAACATGCTGTCTATGATAACAAGTGAATGCTTAGATCTGCTTTGATATATAGAATCAATACAATGATAGAAATAAGAATACCTTCAGAGGAAAGCATTAAATATTGATATTAGTAAAATGTTGGGCATCTTGATTCCTTATCTTGTATTACATTAATGGCTAAACAATGTGACAGGTGTCACTCGTCCTGATGGACAAAATTCTATTTGAAAAGAACTGAATATTCTATATAGCATGAAAGAGCTATGACAGACAGTCAATTCTATAGGGGAGGACTGACAATCCTACATTAGCATGAAAGAGCTATGACAGACACAATTCTATAGGGGAGAACTGACAATCCTACATGAGCATGAAAGAGCTATGACAGGTGTCACTTATGTTTTCACAGACACAATTCTATTTGGGAAGAACTGACAATCCTACAGCAACATGTAAGAGTTGATGACATGTATCATTTGTCCTGATAGACACAATTCTATAGGGGAGGACTGACAATCCTACAGCAACATGTAAGAGTTGATGACATGTATCATTTGTCCTGATAGACACAATTCTATAGGGGAGGACTGACAATCCTACAGCAACATGTAAGAGTTGATGACATGTATCATTTGTCCTGATAGACACAATTCTATAGGGGAGGACTGACAATCCTACAGCAACATGTAAGAGTTGATGACATGTATCATTTGTCCTGATAGACACAATTATATAGGGGAGGACTGACAATCCTACAGCAACATGTAAGAGTTGATGACAGGTATCATTTGTCCTGATAGACACAATTATATAGGGGAGGACTGACAATCCTACAGCAACATGTAAGAGTTGATGACAGGTATCATTTGTCCTGATAGGCACAATTATATAGGGGAGGACTGACAATCCTACAGCAACATGTAAGAGTTGATGACAGGTATCATTTGTCCTGATAGACACAATTATATAGGGAAGAACTGAAATTCCAACATTAACATATAAGAGTTGATGACAGGTGTCACTTGTCCTCAGAGGTGGTGAAATGATATGTTTCTAAACATGTGGTGAAATGATATGCATCTAAACATGTGGTGAAATGATATGTCTAAACAGCTGATGAAATGATATGTATCTAAACATGTGGTGAAATGATATGTCTAAACAGGTGATGGAATGATATGTATCTAAACATGTGGTGAAATGATATGTCTAAACAGGTGATGGAATGATATGTATCTAAACATGTGGTGAAATGATATGTCTAAACAGGTGATGAAATGATATGTATCTAACCATAGAAAAATGACATGTTTATAAAGAGGTGGTGAAATGACATGTATCTAAATGTGTGGTAAATGACATGTATCTAAATGTGTGGTAAATGACATGTATCTAACCAATGTAGAAATGACATATATCTAAACAGTTGGTGAAATTGAATGTATCTACATGTGTGGTAAATGACATGTTTCTAAACAGGTTGTGAAATGATATGTATCCACACAAGTTGTGAAATTACTTGTATCTAAACGTGTGGTGAAATGATATGTATCTAAATAGGTTGTGAAATGACTGGTTTCTAAACATGTGGTGAAATGACATGTAATTTTACAGGTGTTTAAGTGACATGTATCTGTTATGTGGAATAAATTGAATCTGAGAATAATTGTATGTGACATTAAATGACAAGACACCTGATTGAGTGGACAGTAGTTTATAATTCATATAAAAAATGTATGAAGTCTGTAACTAGGTGTCATGTGATGAAAATAAATAGAGTCAAAACTTATGAAATCTGAACATGTGCCAAATGTAATAAAACTTCACATATACTGAAATGACACATCTAAAGAAGTTTTGTGTGGGGATGTATAAAAGATACCCTGCCACATCTGTATTTTTGTTAGATTTTTTTCTGCTTTGTATTGATCTGATGAGTTAGGCCATTTTCAACCGATTTTTATAGTTTGTTCTTAATGTTGTACTGTTACAACACTACAGTCCCAGGGCAGTGTAGGGTTGGGCTAACATGTTTGATACTGCCACATTCTGTATGTGCCTGTCCCAAGTCAGGAGACTGTATTAGTGGTGGTTGTTTGTTGCTGTATGTTATATTTGTTTTTTCGTTCATTGTTTTTGTTAATTAATCAGGCCGTTAATTTCTTGTTCGAATTGTTTTATATTTGTCATTTTGGGGCCTGTTATAGCTGACTATGCGGTAGGGGTTTTGCCCTAAGTTGAAGGCCGTTTGGTGATCTATAGTTGTAAAATTCTATGTCATTTAGTCTCTGGTGGAGAGTTATGTCTCATTGGCAATCATACCACATCTTCTTATTTGTATATCATATGTGATTATCTTGGCAATGTTATAGATGATCAAGTACTGCGATAGTCAGTGACAGTATCTACATTTAGTACCATGTAAACTTTTATGGATTAATAAGTCACAACATAGATAACATTTCAATATCGGGGTAAATATTCTTTTAATATTATCAAAATAATGGAAACAAATGTCCACATAAAACTTTTCATAGAAAATTCCAAGTTTTAATGCAAGCATTAACAGAATATTTTATGGCAAAATAATGATATTTTATGTCGGTTTTGCTTTTACAAACCACAAATTTTAAGGACAGATATAATGATTTTCCTCTACATTAATAAAGAGTCTGATCAGTTAGAAATGGGTCTACGTCTTTTGATATTCATTTAACATGCTTCCCTATGTTGAGTCATTTCTTCTTAATAAAGAGGTTCTACATTTAATCATTGATTTCTGGTGTTATCTCTAATTTGCAATGATTACAATTTGATTTGCCTAGATGAGAGCTTATGACTGAAAAATTGATACTTTAATTATCTGCTTTTTACTTATATTCTATACGTTTTTAAGTCTACTAATAACTTTTTAATTGATTTTAATGATAAAAAGAGTATGCTGCAAATAATGATATCATCGGTTTATATAGTATTCAGATGTAGTTCTAAATACAAACAAAATTTCAGAAAAATCTGAAATACTACCCAATTTAATGAAGTATACATTTCTTAAAAGTTTGGGTTTTAATCATATTTGTAGGTCATACGGTGACCTAATAGTTATTAACTTCTAATTATGATAACAGAACTATCATGAAAGAAGTAGATAGCCACTTTGCTGTTCCTGTGGATTCATTATTATTCGTCGGATGCTAATTTTCGTTGGTTTCGTGGGTACAGATGAACCACGAAATCAAATGTTCAACGAATTACAAACTTTCTATAAGCTTTGTATGCAAAGATTGGCAAAACAACGAATTCGAATATCCACGAAGATGCACGTTTTCCTTAATCCACGAAAACTGATACCTACGAAAATAAATGAATCAACACTACTAATATTTTTTCTGAATTTATCTTTAAGAAATTCACAGTCAATCATTTGTAGAATGTAAAGAAATATAAATACACAAGGTTTACAAGCCTCAAACATATCCACCTCAAACATATCCACCTCAAACATAGCCACTTCAAACATACCCAAACTGTTTCTGGTTAACTTTGCCTGAAGTAGTTTCAATTATCTGTTTAGAACAAAATGCTAACCAAAATGTAGCATCAGTAAGTCTGATATTTTATTCGCTTGTGGATTTAGTCAGACTTGTACAGAACTATTAATATAAACATAAGCAGATATGGTATGATTGCCAATGAGACAACTCTACAACTCACAAATAATACATGATGGTCTTGAAGTATAGATTCTAGGTACTGATGTTGTTTATCATCTTAATTACGTGTTATAGTGTTCTTTTTATTTGTCTTTGTATATTTTTAGCCCATTGTTTAGTCCATTTTTGGTAATATCCTTTTGGCGTGGCTTGGTGTTTATACATCCCACCATTGTGTTATTGTGCTATGGTCATTTTTTGGTATTCTTGTCTTTAATTTTTGCTTATGTGCTTTGTCTATAAAAGAGTGTATATATGCCATTTTGTTTTTCTTTGTTGACATAGTTGTTTGTTTTTATAGTGATTAAGATTAAAACCAATGTTGACTGCTGTACCCCAATATTTGACATTCTTACCTACTATGTCTGTTTGTTTTGCTCACACATTGTTGTCAATATAATGGAATTCTATGCAACTTTTATACAAGTGAGAGGTTTAGCTAGAAAAAAACCCAGGTTTAATCCACCATTTTCTAGATAAGGAAATGCCTGTACCAAGTCAGGAACATGACAGTTGTTTTACATTTGTTTGCTGTGTTTGAGCTTTTGATTTTGGTATTAATGATAAGGGACTTTCCATTTTGAATTTTGAGTTCGGTATTTTTGTTATTTTACTTTCTACACCAGAGACCAAATGATGTAGAAGGTCAGCAACTGTTACAATGCATAATCATGTTGAACAGGCAATAACAAACACATTTAGTTATTGTAAATGAAGTTTAAGCAGCATCAAAGCTTTGCTCACACGATACAACTAAGAATTACGGAAGGAAACAATCAGCGAATGATTCATTGTACACTGGCTGTACATTATTAATGAGATTTGTTTTCCTGAAGGATAATGTTTATGACTTCATCAAACATTCAAGCCAATTTTACCTGAAAAATCAATACAAATTCTGATTGGAAATGTGAAAATTTTAATGTCTCAGATTTCTTGTTGATTTTTTAATAAAATTCTGTTGCTTCAGGTTTTGTTTTATTGAGCGTAGATTTCAAAAGATTCTGTTTTTTCATGTTGACTTTCTAGTGTGGATTGTAATATTCAGAATTTTTATTACAATATAGAATTAAAAAATGTACAATCTTATTGAGTGCCTCATTTCATATGCCAGATAAATTATCATTAGAAAAAGAAAGGTTTCAGACAACTACTTGAGGTAAATTTTGACTCACCATTTTTACTTTATTATTTTGTTTAGCTCAGAATCCTGCATGATTACGTATTAAAAAAAAATTTGTAAGGAGTTACCCGGAACCTGTGATTGCTGCTGTCATTGTAAAAGTGTAATGTTACTTAACTAGAGGCTCTCAAGAGCCTGTGTCGCTCACCTGACTCTACTTTGGTTTTAGAAATCATGTAAAGATAGATAAAAATCTTAACAGATACCCAAATAATGATTGAGGCCAAATTTTGATTAATATTGGTCCCGTTATTTAATAAAATATCCTGGTGGCCATCTTGAACAGTAAATCGGCAACAAAGTAGCAACACTTGGTCAGCACTTCATAAGGAACATTCATGCCATGTTTGGTTCAATTCCATTCAGTGGTTCTCTAAAAGAAGACAATTGTATGTATTTCCCATAGGGTCCTATGTTAAACTAAGTCCCCCGCTGTCGGCCATCTTGGATGATGGATCGGCTGCAAAGTAACAACACTTGGTCAACATCTCATAAGGAACATTCATGCCATGTTTGGTTCCATTCCATTTATTGGTTCTCTAAAAGAAGACATTTGTATGTATTTCCCATAGGGTCCTATGTTCAACTAAGTCCCCCGCTGGCGGCCATCTTGGATGATGGATCAGCTACAAAGTAACAACACTTGGTCAGAACCTCATAAGGAACATTCATGCCATGTTTGGTTTCATTCCATTCAGTGGTTCTCTAAAAGAAGACATTTGTATGTATTTCCCATAGGGTCCTATGTTAAACTAAGTCCCCCGCTGGCGGCCATCTTGGATGATGGACCGACTGCAAAGTAACAACACTTGGTCAGCATCTCATACGGAACATTCATGCCATGTTTGGTTCCATTCCATTCAGTGGTTCTCTAAAAGAAGACATTTTTATGTATTTCCCATAGGGTCCTATGTTAAACTAAGTCCCCCGCTGGCAGCCATCTTGGATGATGGATCGGCTACAAAGTAACAACACTTGGTCAGCACCTCATAAGGAACATTCATGCCATGTTTGGTTTCATTCCATTCAGTGGTTCTCTAAAAGAAGACATTTGTATGTATTTCCCATAGGGTCCTATGTTAAACTAAGTTCCCCGATGGTGGCCATCTTGGATGATGGATCGGCTACAAAGTAACAACACATGGTCAACACCTCATAAGGAACATTCATGCCATGTTTGGTTTTATTCCATTCAGTGGTTCTCTAAAAGAAGTCATTTGTATGCATTTCCCATAGGGTCCTATGTTAAACTAAGTCCCCCGCTGGCGGCCATCTTGGATGATGGATCGGCTACAAAGTAACAACACTTGGTCAGCACCTCATAAGGAACATTCATGCCATGTTTGGTTTCATTCCATTCAGTGGTTCTCTAGAAGAAGTTCAAAATGTAACTAGAGGCTCTCAAGAGCCTGTGTCGCTCACCTGACTCTACTTTGGTTTTAGAAATCATGTAAAGATAGATAAAAATCATAACAGATACCCAAATAATGATTAAGGCCAAATTTTGATTAATATTGGTCCCGTTATTTAATAAAATATCCTGGTGGCCATCTTGAACAGTAAATCGGCAACAAAGTAGCAACACTTGGTCAGCACTTCATAAGGAACATTCATGCCATGTTTGGTTTCATTCCATTCAGTGGTACTCTAAAAGAAGACATTTGTATGTATTTCCCATAGGGTCCTATGTTAAACTAAGCCCCCCCCCCCCCCCCTAGTGGCCATCTTGGATGATGGATCGACTGCAAAGTAACAACACTTGGTCAGCAACTCATAAGGAACATTCATGCCATGTTTGGTTCAATTCCATTCAGTGGTTCTCTAAAAGAAGACAATTGTATTTATTTCCCATAGGGTCCTATGTTAAACTAAGTCCCCCGCTGTCGGCCATCTTGGATGATGGATCGGCTGCAAAGTAACAACACTTGGTCAACATCTCATAAGGAACATTCATGCCATGTTTGGTTCCATTCCATTTATTGGTTCTCTAAAAGAAGACATTTTTATGTATTTCCCAAAGGGTCCTATGTAAAACTAAGTCCCCCGCTGGGGGCCATCTTGGATGATGGATCAGCTACAAAGTAACAACACTTGGTCAGCATCTCATAAGGAAGATTCATGCCATGTTTGGTTTCATTCCATTCAGTGGTTCACTAAAAGAAGACATTTGTATGTATTTCCCATAGGGTCCTATGTTCAACTAAGTCCCCCGCTGGCGGCCATCTTGGATGATGGATCGGCTACAAAGTAACAACACTTGGTCAGAACCTCATAAGGAACATTCATGCCATGTTTGGTTTCATTCCATTCAGTGGTTCTCTAAAAGAAGACATTTGTATGTATTTCCCATAGGGTCCTATGTTACACTAAGTCCCCCGCTGGCGGCCATCTTGGATGATGGACCGACTGCAAAGTAACAACACTTGGTCAGCATCTCATACGGAACATTCATGCCATGTTTGGTTCCATTCCATTCAGTGGTTCTCTAAAAGAAGACATTTTTATGTATTTCCCATAGGGTCCTATGTTAAACTAAGTCCCCCGCTGGCGGCCATCTTGGATGATGGATCGGCTACAAAGTAACAACACTTGGTCAGCACCTCATAAGGAACATTCATGCCATGTTTGGTTTCATTCCATTCAGTGGTTCTCTAAAAGAAGACATTTGTATGTATTTCCCATAGGGTCCTATGTTAAACTAAGTTCCCCGATGGCAGCCATCTTAGATGATGGATCGGCTACAAAGTAACAACACATGGTCAACACCTCATAAGGAACATTCATGCCATGTTTGGTTTTATTCCATTCAGTGGTTCTCTAAAAGAAGTCATTTGTATGCATTTCCCATAGGGTCCTATGTTAAACTAAGTCCCCCGCTGGCGGCCATCTTGGATGATGGATCGGCTACAAAGTAACAACACTTGGTGAGCACCTCATAAGGAACATTCATGCCATGTTATGTTTTATTCCATTCAGTGGTTCTCTAAAAGAAGTCATTTGTATGCATTTCCCATAGGGTCCTATGTTAAACTTAGTCCCCCGCTGGCGGCCATCTTGGATGATGGATCGGCTACAAAGTAACAACACTTGGTCAGCACCTCATAAGGAACATTCATGCCATGTTTGGTTTCATTCCATTCAGTGGTTCTCTAGAAGAAGTTCAAAATGTAAAAAGTTAACGCCGACGACGCCGGACGACGGACGCCAAGTGATGAGAAAAGCTCACTTGGCCCTTCGGGCCAGGTGAGCTAAAAAGTTAACGCCGACGACGGACGACGCCGGACGACGGACGCCAAGTGATGAGAAAAGCTCACTTGGCCCTTCGGGCCAGGTGAGCTAAAAAGTGAGCCCATTTATCAGTACAATGCAGAATTCTAAAAAAAAATCTAACTTTTTCTTTAGATGCTATTTCTTGGTCTTAAAGATTAGCTTCTGTCCAAGTTTAATAACAATCCACAAAGGTTTACAAATTTATCATGTCAAAAAAATTTAATCCCTGACTAACTGCAAATATTAACTGTAAAAAACAAAGTCCATCTATCAGAAAAATACTAAAAATGGAAAATATATTTTCAAAGGTTCGCTTCCAACATAATATCTTCATCAATAAAAAGCTTCTGCCAAAGTTTCATTAAACTCAATAAAGGTTTGACAAAGAAATTGATGTGTAACAAACTTTAACCCCAGACTGTATCTACTCCGGTTTACTCAACTTTATTGTAAAAAGAAAAAGTCCATTTATCAGTACAATACATAAAATAAAAACAAATATTTTCAAAATTTTGCTCTGGATACTGTCTGTTGGTCAAAAACATGCTTCTGTCCAAATTTTATAAAATTCCATGTAGGTTTGACAAAGTTATTTATGTCTATATCAATTTTAACCTCAGACTATTAATCTGAATGTTGAATGTAAAAAAAACTAAGTCCATTTATCAGTAAAATACAGAAAAATGAAAATCATATTTTCAAAATTTTGCTCTGGATACTGTATTTTGGTCATAAACAAGCTTTTGTCCAAATTTCATAAAATTCCATGTAGGTTTGACAAAGTTTTTGATGTCTAAAAAAACTTTAAACTACAGACTAAACCTAAATTTTGATATCACCAACGCCAATGACGGGATCTAGGATCGCTATGTCTCACTTGCGCATAATAAGTTTTGCAGGCTCGACAAAAACACAATAATGAAATGTACAGGTCTAGCATTAAATATAAAAGAAAGATTACAAATATCTTCAAAATATTTGGGTAAAATCAGGCAAATAGTAGGGGTGAAGGCTTGGGATTAAAATTGATGAGTAAAAACAGGCGAACAATTGGGAGTGAAAAGGATATGAATTGCTGGGTAAAAACAGGCAAATAATAGGGAGTGAAAATGATGGGAATTGCTGGTAAATACAAGTAAATAATTGGGAATGAAAAGAATGGGAATTGCTGGTAAATACAAGTAAATTTTTAGGAATGAAAAGGACAGGAATTGTTAGGTAAAATCAGGAAACAATTGGGAGTGAAAAATTGGAATAGCTGGTAAATACAGGCAAATAATTTGGAATGAAAAGGATGGGAATTGCTGGGTAAAAAGAGTTAAATAATTGGGAATGAAAAGAATGGGAATTGCTGGTAAATACAGGCAAACAATTTGAAGTGAAAAATCGGAATTGCTGGTTAATACAGGCAAATAATTGGGAATGAAAAGGATGGATATTAATTTGCTGGTAAATACAGACTCATAATTGGGAATGAAAAGGATGATAATTGCTGGGTTAAAACAGGCAAAAAATTGGGAGTGAAAAGAATGGGGATTGCTCGGTAAAAACAAGCAAACAATTGGGAGTGAAAAATTGGGAACTGCTGGTAAATACAGGGAAATAATTGGGAGTAAAAAGGATGGGAATTGCTGGTATATACCAGCTAATAATTGGGAATGAAAAGGATGGGTAGAACAGGCAAACAGTTAAATGTGAAAATAATGGGAATTGCTGGCTAAATACAGGCAAACATTTGGGAGTGAAAACTATTTACAGCAGCAATGTCCAGGCTACATTGGGTCCAGTATTTTAATGTATTATTTACAGCTGGTCAGAAATACCAAGAAAAACAGTTGAAACTAAAATATGAAAAATTACTGATCATTCCTAATTTACATTTTATAATATATAGATGAACAATGAGGTGGGGTATAGGTCCATTTTATAAACAAGTCTAAATTGAAAACAACGTTCAAACCTATGATTGCGTTGGATAAAAACCGCATTTTATACGTGTGCATGCAAAAAAAAATTCTTGTTAAAGGGGTCTAAATACAGCACAAACAACATTTTACAAAAGACCAAAAAAGTGAAAAAGTATATTTTAACAAAACGCATTTGACTAACAGGTCGAACAACAAATGTTCTTAAACCCTGCTGACTGCCATTGGCGATTGCCAAATAAACAGATCACCGATGTAATAAATGGATCTTAATTATAAATTTAATACTAAACAGAAAACAATAAACTTGCGGAAAAGATGGTATACCACAAACAAAAGGTGCAAAGGTTTTTGTACACCATATCTGGATTTCGACAATTAATGTCTCTTCAGTGATGTTAGGAATCGAAACGGAATTTGGAAAGCCATACAATTTACCTCAATTTAGGATAGACTCTTGAATTTTGAGGAGTCAAAATAGGATGAACAGATCATATAAACCCAAAGGCAAATATAATACAAGCCCAAACGAAAAAATATAAACAAGTCTAAATTGAAAACAACATTCAAACCTATTTTATAATATATAGATGAACAATGAGATGGGATATAGGTCCATTTTATAATATATAGATGAACAATGAGGTGGGGTATAGGTCCATTTTATAATATATAGATGAACGATGAGATGGGATATAGGTCCATTTTATAATATATAGATGAACAATGAGGTGGGGTATAGGTCCATTTTATAATATATAGATGAACAATGAGATGGGATATAGGTCCATTTCATAATATATAGATGAACAATGAGATGGGATATAGGTCCATTTTATAATATATAGATGAACAATGAGGTGGGGTATAGGTCCATTTTATAATATATAGATGAACGATGAGATGGGATATAGGTCCATTTTATAATATATAGATGAACAATGAGGTGGGATATAGGTCCATTTTATAATATATAGATGAACAATGAGATGGGGTATAGGTCCATTATATAATATATAGATGAACAATGAGATGGGATATAGGTCCATTTTATAATATATAGATGAACAATGAGATGGGGTATAGGTCCATTTTATAATATATAGATGAACAATGAGATGGGATATAGGTCCATTTTATAATATATAGATGAACAATGAGGTGGGGTATAGGTCCATTTTATAATATATAGATGAACAATGAGATGGGGTATAGGTCCATTATATAATATATAGATGATGGGGTATAGGTCCATTTTATAATATATAGATGAACAATGAGGTGGGATATAGGTCCATTTTATAATATATAGATGAACAATGAGGTGGGATATAGGTCCATTTTATAATATATAGATGAACAATGAGATGGGATATAGGTCCATTTTATAATATATAGATGAACAATGAGATGGGGTATAGGTCCATTTTATAATATATAGATGAACAATGAGATGGGGTATAGGTCCATTTTATAATATATAGATGAACAATGAGGTGGGGTATAGGTCTATTTTATAATATATAGATGAACAATGAGGTGGGGTATAGGTCCATTTTATAATATATAGATGAACAATGAGGTGGGGTATAGGTCCATTTTATAATATATAGATGAACAATGAGGTGGAGTATAGGTCAATGACATTCTATTATGGGAACTATTGAAATAGCATACAATAAGTTGACTACAGTATAAGGTAAGGGAATGAACAACATGTATATGTAGATACCCAACTAATTTGATCTCATACCAAGTAAGCGTGAGTTAGTATGTTTATTTGAACCAATATGGTTAAGAACTTTACGAAGTCAATAGTGAGTCAAAATAAAAATAAATTGACTGATGAAACAAACTAGCAAAGCTGATGGATCCAATTAAATAGGTGGCTTACAGACACTTAATAAAATATTACAAACTCCCTAAAGAATCTAACTCTATATCGTTTATGGGCTGTAAAACAGGAATCTCTGAAACGTGTTTGGTTTTAAAGTACCCAATAACAACATTTAAAAGTGCATATTTAACAATGTACAATGATTTGTTTAGTGTTTCATCAAAAGATGATTCATTATAAAGAATAATATTTTGTTCAATGCTCAAATCAGAAAAATGCTTAAAGAAAAAGACAGTAAATAATCTTGTCTATTTCTGTACAAATGTTTCCCAATCTCAAATACATTTCTTTGCTTTTCTATTATTCCAGTATAATATTATTCTTAGAAGATCAAGTTCAATAAAATTCTACACATTTTATTGGAACATTGGAAACTTCATAAAAGTCCTGTCAATTGTACTTGTCCCTCATCAATTGATTTATATCCACCGTAGAATTATAAATCATCATCTATAAATGTCAATTCCCATGATGCATCACACTTAAACCTAGCATCAACTAAAGTACTGTTGTCCTATTGTTACTATAAGGGTAAACAGTTATCTGCTTCTTAAAGATACTTTGTGTTATCTGGGGTAATATCTCGAATGAATCGAATGGTAGGCTAATTTTTTAACCCACTATTATCATGTTAGGAAACCAAATTCATGCTTTAAAGGAAGGAAACAGTTATGTCTTTTACAAACAAGAAATAGTTTGGCCTTGGAAGGAAAACACAACGATGGACTGAACAATGTTGAAAGTCTGGTCGCAACCTCAATATATCTTACAATTTAACCAAATTAAATACATTCAAGCTTTTGAGTAAAAGTCAAGGGCAACAAATGTGTTAAGTGTAAAGAATAAGACAGACAGTACCTGACTTCTATAACATATATTAACTCTGACTATCAAAACTATCATCAACGGTTTTCAGGGGACAAAATAATCCTATTCCAAATGAACATATTAAAGACAACAATATGGATTTAAACTATAGAATATACTGGGACATGAATGCTTCCCCTATCAATGTGCAGTTTCTAACCATGGTACAACCACGGATAACCGTGGTCAACCATGGTGGTATGGAGATGGTTGACCATGGTTTGACAAAATTGTTAATTGGCCGACCATGGTTAACCATGGTTTTGATGACCAT